CCAGGTGAGCTCCTTGTGCAGGACTCGCGCCTTTACCCCCATCCAGAGCAGTGTGGACAGTGAAGAGTAGTGCAGAGTGATGCCCACCTGCAGTCAAGGTGCTGAGGCTGGGCCAGGGCATTCGGCGGGGCCCCCCCAGAGCCTCAGCCCTGCCGGCCCGCTCCCCTCCTCCCGTGTCTGCAGCCCACCACCCGGCCCCCGGTGACCCCACATCCCCACGCTCTGGTCCACTTCCGCTCAGGCTCCGCTTCCACCCCAGGGACTCCTGGGACCCTGCTGTTGCCGTGCTGCTAATCCCCGACTTCTCGATTCCCACTTCCACTCTGAAGCCCCACCGCCTACTTCCTCTGGCCTGGTTCCTGCCACCCCGGCACTCTCTGTGCCACCGCACACCCGAGTCGCCCTCCACGGCAGCAGAGGAAACAGTGGAGCCAGGGCCTGTTCCTGCGGCCTCTCTTCTTGCTCTGTGCCTCATGATCTATTTGTACACTGCCACTGCCCCGCTCAGAGCCCCAGGTGCCTGTTCCACTTACCGCCTGGCAGACCATCTGGTAATTGGTGAGCATAATGCCTCCTGCAAAGACGGCGGAGGTCATGGCCATGTGGAAACAGAGGTTCAGCAGCATGTGCCACCCCTTCTGGGACACATGGATGGAGCTGTCCCGGAAAGGATCTTTCATTAACGGGCTGCCCAGCCCAAGGTCGGCCCCTGGGTCTCAAGGCCAATGAGAGTGTCAAGCGGGGAGGCACATGTCTGTGTGCATGCATTTTTATGTGTGTGAACGTGGCCGAGGCCATGGCAAGAATCCCGTCACTCCCAGAATGTGTGCTCCAGCCCCAGAACCTTCACACACAGTGAGCGAGCGCTAGGCAGGAGCTGCAGCAGGCCAGGTAGACCTGCCCGACAGTCAGCTGCCAGTCCTGGGTGAAACCTGACCCCCAGGCAGCTCGTACCTGTGGTTGAGGATGTAAGTGATGATGGTGGAGAAGAGGCACAGCAGCAGCAGAGCTGTGCAGGGGTACACGACAGGGTGCAGCCCAGCCCCAGCGCCCCCTGCCTCCTTGGGGAAAGCACTCAGCTCCTGCGAAGAAGGAAGTAAGGAATGAGCCAAGCTTGCCAGTTCCCCAGGCCCGTCTCCTTCCCGGGCCCTGACGGCCTTGGACCTTGGCCTCAGTGCTCAGATCATCCAGGTGGGCACAGGTGGAGGCACGGGGCCACTCTTAGAAGTCAGCCAGAGGAGACGCTGACCGCCCTCCCTCCCAGTGTCCTGCCTTTCTGGGAGCTGCAGGCCTGCAAAGAATCTGGGGAAATGGGGTACAAAATACGGTAAGGGAGGGGACGAGGATGTCCCCAGGCTGGTTTTCCACTTGGAGAATCTCAGTTTTAGGAAGCACCGAGTGGTTTCAGATCCAACGCTACATGTGAAAGGAGATACAGACCCTTCTGACAGGGCCGCGAGGCTGCCATCCTTTCTGTGACCATCGCCAGCCACACCTCCCCGTCCCTTCCCCACCTGCCTGCCCCCCTTGCCCTGTCATACCCACCATGAGCACAGCCACACTGCCCAGGTGCTGGCAATCCAGGGAGCTGGCGTTGGGCTGGCTGGAGCGCAGCTGGCAGCCTTCTGAGCTCCAGCCCCCGGGCCCCTCACGGCTCCACCAGGCTGCCATGGGGTCGGCCCCCTCAGCCCAGTGCCTCAGCGACACAGCCACTGGCTCCGTGAGGTTCCCCACACCACAGCCGCCTGAAGGGAGAGGGAAGTCCAGGTGAGCACAGTTTCAGGGGAGGTGGGCAGTGGAGCTTGCGTGGTGTCTGCTGGGGGGAGCCAGAGTGGGATGCCAAGTGTGGGCTTCAGGCTATTGCAGAGACTGGCCCGGGGCAGGAGAAAGAAAGTGCTAGCTGGCTGTGGAGTTTCATGCCCGACGTTTAGGAGGCTTAGGTAAGAGGATTCCAAGTTCGAGCCCAGCCTGGGCAACTCAGTGAGACCCTGTCTCAAAAAAATTAGGAGGGGATGTGGCTCAGTGCAGTGTGACAAGGAGAGAGGACTGGATGGGAGCTTGGGAACAGGGAGGAAACAGCTAATGTGGTGGGGGTAGAAGGCCAGGTGAAGGCAGACGTGCGGGGAGTTCAGTCCCTTACTGGTGCCTGCGAAGATGACAGGGGTGGCCACACCACGCCTCTTGCCAGTCCCGGCAGCGCCGGGGCGGGTGGTGTTGCCATGGCTGCGGAAGAGGCGGCCGTTTCGGAAGACCAGCAGTTGCAGGGTGCAGTCTGGGGGTGCCGGGGGAGCCAGGGAAGCCGGAAGGAAGGAGAAGAGGCTGGGGGGCAGCTGGATGGAGGCCAGGGCCACGCTGTTCTGGGGGGACAGAGGAGCTCCTCAGAGACCTCACCACCCTGGGCTCTGACGTCTTCAGCCCCGCCTCCACCCGCAGACCCTGATCTCAGACCTGCCGCCCTCGCCCACCTTGATGTGGAAGGACGACAGAGAGATGTTGGGCCTCCCAGTGGTGCAACGGAAGCGGAGGTGCTGGTCAGCAGGGGCCTCAGGCTCGGGTAGGGCGCTGTGGCCAGCACTGCCCAGCCGCGGCCCGGCCGCCCCCAGCTCCTGCCTCTGGAAGGCTGTGCAGGTCAGACCCACGTAGCCATGTGGCTTGATGAGGTAGGCCTCCAGCGCCACGTTCCTTGAGTTCTAGGACAGACACCGCGTCACCCTGCCACTTGAGAGAAGGCTGCTTCCCGTACTGTGCCCGCCACCCTTCATTCCTCGCTGTCTTCAAATCATGGGCCCGGGGGGTTCTCCCACCAAACCCTGCCCATGGACCTTCTGCTTCCTGCTGTGGCACTCGTGCTGCCACCAACACGTCCATCTTCTGCATTGCTCTCCTCTTTCTGCTGTTTTTTCGAGACAGGGTCTCTCACTTACGCAGCCCAGGATGGCCTCAGACTTGAGATCCTCCTTTCTCAACGCCCCGTGTGCTAGGGTCACAGGCGTGTACACCACACCCTGCCACTTTGTTCACCTCGGAACATGTGCCAGCCCTTTTGCCTCAACCTGGTTACAGAGCAGGGGCCTCACCTAACCCTTGCGCCTCCCGAGGGCCCAGCACAGTACTGTGCCGTAGAAGCAGCACTCCTTCGGTCACTGGTTGGCAGAAATGTCCCTGCCTTAGGGAATGTCTGTCTCTTATTGTCGCGAGGCACAAGGCTTCCTCCTGTTCCTCCGGCTACTTATTTGTGGCCATCAGGCCAGCCCCCAACTCAGTCCCGCCAGGAAGTCTCCCAGTACTCCAGCAGCCCAGGCCCTGCCTCTGAACTCCCCCGACACCTCAGACTTGGGGCGCAGTGGAGAGGGAGGGAAGGGCTCCCCACTCTGGGTGATGGGCGCTGGCCCCTGCTCGACTCCGAGGTTCCTCCCCCACGCTGACCCACATTACCACAGAGATGTGCTGGGCGTGGGGGCTGAGGACTGCTCCCCCGATGCGCTCCAGGGCGCCCAAGATGCCACTGCAGGCCTTGTCCTCGCGCTGGGCCAGCCACAGCAGATGCTCATCCACCAGCATCAGGTTGCTGGCCATGTCCACCATCACTTCTGCCAGCTGTGGGGGAGAGCAGGGTGGTCGGAGGGCAGGAGTGGGGCTGGGGCCCAGGGGCTGAGCCCATGGGAAGGTGCTTTCCAGGAGCCCAGAGGACAAAAATATACCTCTTTGATCTGGTCAACATAACCCAAAAATTTCTGGATCATCTGAGCCACGTAGACTACGTCCATCATGTCTGAGAAGCTGGCAGCTTCAGCCGTGTACACTCGCAGCTGGTGAGCCAGGGTCAACGCATTGGAGGCATTGATGGGCATCTGAGGGTGGTACAGGAGGAGGAAAGCGGGCGTCCTGCTTCCTGTCTTGTCTGGCCCTGGACTGCCCCTAAGGCTCCTCTCCTAGGCCACTGTGCCTGGGGAAAGGGGCCTAGACCACCTGCTTGTCTAGGCAAGGCAGGAGATGATACGAGGCTGTGATCATCACCACCCGAGGCCACCCACCTCCAGCACCAGTGACGAGAGGACCACGTCTCGATGTGCTGGTGACAGAGCAGAATGGGATGGAGGCCCCCAGGGTGGTCTTGGTGGTGCTAAATCCCGGAACAGGGAAGGGTAAAGGACAACGCCAGGGAAGAAGGCACTGGGCCCCAGTCCTCTCTGGCACCCCTGGAGGCTGCGCTCCCCTCCCCTGAGGGACACCGGGCTCTGGCCCATCCCTGCCCTCTGCCCCAGCTCACCAGCACGAAGGTATACAGCACCCTGGTGATGTCGTTGGTGTACAGACAGTGGGAGTAGTCCCCTGGCTCCCAGCGGCCAGCTCGGTCGCAGCGGCGGGAGGCTCGGGTGCCCGGGGCACCTCCACTCAGGGGCACCGAGGTAAAGGGATACTGCAGGCAGGGCTGGTAGGCTGTGATGCCAGCCAGAGTTCGAGGCCACCTGGGGGCAGAGGCAGGAAAGTGCCACCACCCAGGCTTCTCGGGACGACCCCTCCCACCCCTACACTTGAAGTGGACCCTGGGCCTGGGGGAGCAGCCAGGAGAGGGTGCCTGAGCGTGTGGACAGAGGGGTTCCCTGTTCCCACTTGCTAACTCAGTGTGCTCCAGAGTGTTGGCTTAGGTGACCGTGTCCAGGGTACAACTCAGACTTCTGAGTTAAATCTAAGCTGTGCCACTTAGCTATGATGTTAGGCAAGTCCCTTGTCCTGTCTGGGCTTCTGTTCTAGGCTGTACAGTGGGGAAACTCATACCTGCCCTGCCTTCCAGGGAAGGATGTTGGGATGTTAAAATGTGACAGTGTTTGTGGGAGGCCAGGAAGCCACAAGAAGCCTTCGTGCTGTGTGGGCTACGATCTCTGAAATGGCTGTGTAAGAGTGGGGGTGCAGCAGGTGGGGTGACAGTTGGATCTCGGGGTTCCCGCACCAGAGCAGAGCAGTGCAAACCTGAAGTCCCCACGATTGTTGGCGACGCGCTCGGCAGGGCAGTAGGAGGCAGAGGTCTCCAGCACCACGATCTCCACCTTCTTGCTGGCGCTGCCCTGGACGGTGGACACTGTGCACGCCCATTCGCCTGAGGCCCACACACCGATGTGGGACAGGGTCAGCTCACTGTGGGCAGGCGCCGGCTCAGTGAGGCGCTCTCGGCCCAGCCTGCCGCTGCCCCGTGCCTCTGGCCAGTCCCCCTTGGGTGCCCGGCTGGGCCTGTGTCCTTCAGTGGGCCAGGGACACGGGCACCGGCTCCTTCAATTCTGACTGTCCTCGTGGTATTGTTTTCCTCGTCTGTATTCCCCGTCATCTGTTTGGTCCTAGAGATTCACTAAGGCCTGTGCACTGAGCTGCATCCTCAGCACATTCTTATTGTTTGTTTGTTTGTTTGTTTTTGCTAACAGCCTCCCAGAGTGCTAGGTTTTCAGGTGTGTACTGCAACATCTGGCAAATTTCCATAATTTCCTATGGAGATAATCACACTCTTCCAGGTCTACAACAGAGATTAAACCTAATAATAAAGATGAGCTGCTATAAACACTTTAAAAACACTGAAGAGATGTGAAATGCCGCTTTTTAAATCCCTAAGCACAGGGCTGGAGATGTAGCTCAGTGGCACTGAGCCTGCCTGGTAACTGCAAGATCCTGAGTTCAGTCCCCAGTACTGGAAAAAAACATTCCTAAGGTCTATTCAGGCCACTTATGATTGAATCTTAGATCTACACACACACACACACACACACACACACACACACACACACACACACACTCTCTGTCTCTCTCTCTCTCTCTCTCTCTCTCTCTCTCTCATACACAATCCTGGGAGTATCCAGGCACAGCTCTTTCATGGGTGGGTGATGTATACTGCAGCCACCCCACCCCCAGGGGGCAGCCTGGCGCATACCTGGTGATGAAGGTACAGTCGTGCACAAGGCTCTTGGCCAGGAGGATGCCTGCCTGCTCGTCTCCCTCCACAGGGGCCCGGTTGTGGTACCAGTGGATGTGGGTGTCGTTGCCTAGGTAGCTGGCGGAGCACTGGAAGGGCAGCCGGTCGCCCTGGAACACCACTTGGCGCAGCGAGGGGATGAGGTGGTGGGTGTGCAGCTCCAGGGCCCCCTCTGCGAGGAGACAGCAGTGAGGCCTGCATGTGTGAGCGCCCACCTGGCAGGGTGGTGAGGGCTGGAAGGAAAGGGGTCAAGAGAAAGTCTCCAGAGGTTAAGAGCAGAGGAGGAGCAGGCAGGTTTGGGACCAGAGGAAGTGTGACAGCAGACAGCCCTAGAGAGGTTTAGAAAAGGTGATGGAGGGCTGCCGGTGGACAGAGGAAGGAGGGGGACATGCCCGTCACACAGCCACACAACCACACAGCTCGTGCAGACTGCGGGGAGGGCTCACCGCAGCGGAGCTGTGTCTCCTGCAGGCCACCCAGGGCCTGGGCATGCAGGGCACTGGGATAGGCACACAGTGTGCGCTCGGACAGCTGCAGGGAGTGATTCCGGGCCCAGGGCAGCAGCCAGCCCAGGTGGCAGTCGCAGGTCAGGAACTCAGTGCCAAAGTCCCTGTGGGGTGGAGAGGAGTCAGAGTAGAGCAGAGGGCCGGGGATGTGGCTGAGGTCGGCACGGCTGGGAAGGGAACTGTGGGCCTCTGCGTACTCCCTCCGTGGGGCACTGTCCTACCTGCTCACCCGGCTATCCACGGCTGCCTTCCGGGCAGAGGAGGGGCAGGGTCCACACCTGGGCTGGGAGAGATACTCACACCACCTTAAGGGCTGGCAGCTCATCGAAGACCCCGGGATGCAGACTGGAGAAGATGTTTCCAGATATGTTCCTGCAGGGGTAGGGGAGCAGGGAGCGGGTGTCAAGGCCTTCCTGGGCCAGAGGACGGGCAGTGGGAAGAGAGAATGCAGGGACTGCGCGTGCTGCCTTCCTCCCTCCCCTCACTCACAGTCGGAGAAGCCTGGGGAGGCCTTGGAAGGTGTCGGAGGTGAAACAGCCGATCCGGTTGTTGGAGAGATCTCTAGAGAGAGATGCGCACACAACACACAGGCTCCGTGGTGGCACATGGTTTTCTTATGCAAGCCACATGGGTACACCTGGGGCGTGTGTGGGGAGAGGGCTGGGACCCAGTTCCACAGAGTGCTTGAAGTACCCAAGCATTTAACCCCAGCCAACGTGCCCAGTAGAGGTTGGGGCTGGGAAACGGGGACAGTGGTGGGTGACGAAGGGGGTGGCTGCTCACGGAACCCGAGACTTTCTCTGGGGTTTAGGGGAGCAGGGAAGTTGGGGGCAGGACGTGCCACTCACAAGCGCTTCAGCTCCCCCAGGCCCAGGAAGGCTCCAGGTTGCACCACGCTGATGACATTGTTCCTCAGGTCCCTGTGGAGGCAGGGGGAGGCCTCAACCTCTGCTGCACCAAGGCCCCTGCTCCCTGGGTGGGTGCCTCACTCTCACCACAGGTGCTGGCTTGCTTTGGGACTCAGTTTCCCTTCTAGACCTCTGCTCCCCTCAGCCCTGGCAGGATGCCTCCTTGAACCCCAGCAGGGCTCCTCTGGTTGCCAGCGAGAGGGCTTCGTCAGAAAATGTTAGATGTAGGAGCCAGGGGAGGGGACGGGAAAGCCTCACATGAGAGTGGCGACCACACTGTGGACGGAGCGTCACACGCACAGGGAGTCAGGAGGCTGCCATGCCCCACACTGTTCCACCTCCAAGCTGCCCGGGACCTTGAGGACCTCTCGGGACTTCCCTGGGAGCCCCGAGTCCAGATGCTGCAGTCTTCTCTGAATGTGACAGCTACTGTAACCCTGCGGCTCTCTCCACCCAGCGGAGGACAGCAGGCAGCTGCCAGTGAACTGACAGCCTCGGCCGAGTCCAGACGTCAGGGACCAGCCTCCTGTGTTCAGATGAGGCCCGGGGGCACTGGCCCGTTCAAGGTCCTCAGTCCTGCTTCTCCCCTGCTCTCCTAGGAATCAAAGAACCGGGAGCCACACAAGTGTGGCATCCAGGAAGGATAGCAAGAGGCTGGGCCAAGCTCCACCCTGGGGCAAGGGATGACAGACTCTGCCCTCACGTCGCACAGAGACCGCAGTGCAACTCTCAGGTTGCAGGGAGTTCCCACGTAGGGGGATAGGTGACACCTGCACCTGACACGCAGGCCTGGGGGCTATTGAGGGGACCCCCAAGGACCAAGGGTGCTAGACCACTATCTTTTCTCTCAGCCCGTCCTCTGTGCCAAGCACAGCCAGGGAGAGAGCTGCCTAGGGGGCCGAGGTTATCGCCCACCTAGTCGAGGCCCACCCTGACCAGGCCTGAGGCCCCACAGAACACTTCCCAGGGCCTGCTGCCCTTCCTGCGTCCCAGTGTCCTCGGTGGACCCATGATGGGGAGGCACAGGGTGGGTGTGAGTGACTCCTGGAATCAACTCCGAGTCACAGGGGTTGTGACGAGAACACGGATTGCTGGGGCAGTTGACAGAGGGATGAGGGGCTGCCCCTCCCCAGCCCAGACAGGCAGGGAGTCTGGGCTCTGCTGACAAAGCCTCAGGACAGCCCTGGATTCCCAGCAGGAGGGGGTTAACCGGGGCCAGCACCCCGCAGGGTGAGAGGAGATGGGTGTCCAGGGCAGGGAGGCTGTTGCTTGCGTGTGCACAGCCCCAGCACCGGCCAGGAACCTGGGGGTGGGGTTGGACCAAGTACTCTGCTCAGCCCATCCCATGGTCGGGACTCAGCTGGCCCCCAGAGCCCTGGGTCTGCTTGAGGAAGAGGAAAGACTGAAGGAGCCGGCTTTGTGCTCCCAATGCTGGGGCACAAGACCCGGGAAGGTGACAGATCCCAGAACGCTGCAGGCAGACGCCACAGACCACCTGGGGGTGGCGCCCTTCTTGCCCGAGGTCCTTTGCTATCGGGCCTTCCCTCCCTGCCCGGCCCTCTGTGCGGGAGCCTGTGCCCCAGGCTGCTGGTGGGATCTGGCCATTCTCAGGGCTCTGCCTCCCACCCCCACGCGGGGACAGCAGGGGAAACACATTCCTCATTGTGTCACCTTCCCTTCATGGGCTGCCAGGGGCTGGGGCTGCAGCCCCCACCCCTCCCTTTGCTGTGTTTATTTTCATTTCCTCCCTGCCCCTTGGTGAGCCTCACCCGCCTGCCCCCCTGATGCGCTGCAGATGGGCGCGACGTGGCCTCTCAGGCCCAGCCCCTCTCCCTGCCCTCCACACTCTGCTGCCAATCTGTGGGCCTCTAGCAGAGCGGAGAGCTGCCACTTGTGCCCCTGTTCGCGCCTGCCCTCGGAATGCCTTCAGGGATCCAAGCTGGGCACAGAGCATTCCCAGGGGGCCCTGGGTCCAGGTTGCTCCCCAGACTGGGTTACGACGCCTCCTGGTGCCTCAGTAAGGGCAGCAGCTTTGGGGTTGCACTGCCTGGGGCAGGAAGAAATTCAACCACCCATCTGGGACACTAGATCTGCAAGGCGCCTAGTAATTGGTGGTTCTGAGCCCTTCTTGTTTAGTGCTTCCTTTGGGAAATCTGATGAAGCCCAGAATCCTGTCCTAGAAAAATGGACTAACTCAGCATCATGCACAAGAGTTCAAGGGCACTGTGAGACTTGGGTTAAGAATATTTGCCCCAGATCATCAAAGCTGATCCTCTCATTTCTCTGTCTGTCTGTCTGTCTCTCTCTCTCTCACAGGAAATTGAACCCAAGATCTTCACACTGCGCAACATCCCCAGCCCTTTTACTTACTTATTTTTATTTTTTATTTTGAAACAAATCTGCACCAAGTCATTAAATTGCCTGGTCTAGGTTGAACTTTCAATCCTCCTGCCTCAGCCTCCCATGGTGCTGGAATTACAGGTGTGCACCACCAGGCCTGGCTGCTACCCTTGTTTCTTAGTGTCAAGATGCACAGATCTTCCACTGATTGCCTGTCTGCTTCCACAGAGTCTGTTCCTGGAACCTGGGAGAGATGCAGTGCACTGACAGAACCCCCACGCCCCAAGGACTACATGCTGCACCCTTGACTGCAGGCACAAACCCCTCTCCTGTATCCAAGTCACCACAGCAGAGATGGGCCCCCAGGTGGAAGTGAGGCGGGCTCCCGGGAGCAGCTGTACACTGTTCCCTGAGTGAGTGTGTGTAAGAGTGAGTGTGTGAGCTCAGTAATAAGAGAAAAAGTTGATGAGTTGGACATAAGAATTTTAAACCTTTAGCCTGGCTTGATGGTGATGCACCCCTGTAATCCCAGCAATCCGGAGGCTGAGGCAGAAGGATTGCCCAGTTCAAGGCCAGCCTGGGCTACATAGAGAGACCCTGTCTCAAAAATCAAAAAACAAAACGAAGACCCTGTTTATAATAAGGAAATTTTAAAAGGGCGGGGAAATGTAGCTCTTTGTGAAGGCCCTGGGTTCAATCCCCAGTGCCACAAAATAAATAAACAAACAAACTTTTCTATATGAAGGCCACCTCCCACAAAGCGAAAGCACGGATGTAGCGGTTCCCTGTGATGAATGCAGTCAGTGTGTACTGCAACCTGATAAACATACGTTTTTAAAAAACAAAGAAAATCACAGAATGAAAAAGTATTTGCAAATTAGACATCGGATAAGGAATTTCTATCCACAATACATAGAGAACTCCTACAACTCAACAATAAAGACAAGCCATCTGGAAAAAGTGGGTAAATTATTTGAATATCTCATTTCTTCAAAGAAGTCTGCAGGCACATACCTATAGTCCCAGCCAAGGGGGAGGCTGAGGCTTGCGCCCAGGACTGTGAGGCCCGCCTGGACAACACAGCAGAACCCCCCCCCCATGCTAACGGACAATAAACCTATCAAAAGATGCTTGATGTCCTTAATCATAAGGGAACTGCAAATCAAAACCACAAAGAGACACCACTATATATCACCAAGATGACTATAATAAAAACAACAAGAGCTGGGTGTGGTGGCACACACGTAACCCCAGAATTTGGGAGGCTGAGACAGGAGGATTTTGAGTTCACAGCCAGCCTGGGATACATAGCAAGTTCAAAGCCAGTTAGGCTGGGGATTTAGCTCAGTGGTCCTGCCACCTGCCTTGCAAGCCCAAGGTCCTGAATTCTATCTCTGATACCAAAGCAACAACAGCAACAACAACAACAAAACAGAAAACAAAAAAATAATATTAAGTGTTGATGAGGATGTGAAGAAACTGGAACCTTTACCTATTATTATTATTATTATTATTATTATTATTATTAATTTTTGGTACCAGGGATTGAACTTGGGACCTTGCACATGCGAGGGAGGCAGCGGCACCACTGAGCTAAATCCCTGGCCCTCCTTACCTATTACTGATAGGAATGTAAAATGGTACAGCCACTTTGAAAAACACTTCAGTATTTAGAGATACCATCCAAATGGGGCCGGGATTTAAAAGCTCAGTGGCTCCATGCCTGCCTGGCAAGCTCAAGGTCCTGAGTTCAATTCCCAGTACTGTAAAAAAAAATTAAAAGTAGAGTTCCCTTCTAACCCAGCAATTCCATTTCCTAGGTAATACACCTAAAAGAAGTAAAGAAACAACCACACACAAATAAATGGGCAGGTAAGTTCTTAGGAGTATTATTTATAATAGCCACAAAGTGGAAGACACCCAGAAGTTCAGGATCTGATGAATGAATAAAAACATGGTATATCGGTATGAGTATCACTGGCCACAGCAAAGAGTAAAGTGCTGATCCATGCTAAAATGTGGGTGGACCTGGAAAACGTCAAACTGGGTAAAATAAGTCAGTTATAAAAGATTACACATTATATGATTCCACTTCTGTGACGTGGCCATAATAAGCAAATCCATAGACAGAAAGTAGACTAGTGGTTGCTCAGGGTTGGGGAGGTGGGGGCAGAAGAACAGGGAGTGACTATTATTTATTCACGGTTCTTCTGTGGATGATGCAAATGTTCTAAAATTAGATCGTGGTGCTCACACAATTCTGTAAAATACACGAGAACCCACTGAATTGTGTACTTTAAATGGGTGAATTTTATGGTATATAAATCAGATCTCATTAGAGCCCTCAAGAGTGTGTGAGTTGGTGTGACAATGTGTGTGCCTGTGTCGCCCACATTCAGGCAGGGTGGGGAGCCCAGCACTGGCTCCCGTAGGCCCCCACAGACCTCCCTGCTTGTGGGTTTGAAAACCAAATTATAGGCTTGGAGGCCACAGAGCAGCTTGCCCTGGGCCCTGTAAGACTTCCAGGGGTGATGAGAAAGTGGGCCAGAGCACTGCTGTAGGTGTGGAAGCTGTTGCGGGAGAGGAGGGAGAGGTTCTGGGTCCCAAGAACCCCACCGAGGCCCAGCCTCCCACATCCTCTCCCAAGCCCTCTTGTCTCTGGTGTCTCCCAACAGGTATTGATTTAGCATATAAGCTGCGCCAGGCATTGGGGCCACCACAGCGAATAGGTCGGCTGTCCCTGTACCCAGCCTCGCTTGTCCTGGGCCCGTTAGCCAGAGCAGGTTGGCTTCTGAGCACACCCTTCCCACTGAGGCAGGACAGAGTTCCAGGCCTCCCGGCCTGCCCAGCCCACAGATTAATGGAAACCACCTGGCACGTGAGGGCTACCGCCCCAGCCCCCACTCCCTCATGCCCACGAGCATCTGCTTCTAATGAGTGCCCAGCACCCTGCATACCAGCCCCCAGCTCATTAATCTCATTAGGCAATGACAAATCATCTGGGGTTGAGCAGGCCCCTCCCCAGGCCCCTTCCTCCATCCTCTGCGAGCCTCCGGCTGGCCTAGTCCACACAGATCCACACTCAGTTGCCGCTGTCTTTGGCTTCCTTGCTCTGTGGTCTAGGGGCCTTGTATGGTGACCAGGACACACTCAGAGCCCCTTGAAAAGTCCAGTGGGCTGCTGCCTGCTGCCTGCTTGGTGGGGGATCTGGACAGACCAGCAAGGAACCAGAGGAATGAGCCGCCCACCCACTCTGTGCACTTACGATTCTGGCTGGGGCTGTCGCTCTGGGGCAGAGCCAGAGGGATGTGCAGGGTTCCAATCCCAGCTCCGCCAAGGAAAAAGCACCAGAACCGCTTGCCCGAGCAAGTGCAGGGCTGCCAGGCTAACTCCTAAGACTCAGGATTCTTTAGCGGGGAAAGGAACAGCCATCTGTGAAGGCACATACTGTCCAGGGAAGACTTCTCTCCACAGAACTACGTGTCTGGAAGTCAGTTCTAGTCCTCCTTTCCAGGTGAGCATCCAAGGCTAGGGACAGTACAAAATCAAGCCTCAATCCTAGGTCTTTTTACACTTCCCTGGGTGACACAAAGGCTTGGCCAGTCTGAGAGGTGGCAGGGCACAGGGCAAGGCTCAGGCACAAGACCTCATGATGTCTGAGCCCTTCCATGTGCCCCTCCACTGGCCAAGAACCGCCTCTGCTGGGCCCTGGTTTGGGTTTTCTAATAAAGGTGGTCCCCTGGCTCCCTGCCAGCCTCTCGAAGACCCTCCCAGACGCATCTCAAGTCTGCGTCCACTCTGTCCTCCTTCCCCTGTCCTTCCTGCCCATACTCACACAGATCTCAACTGAATCCTTGGTCCTGGCCCTGTGCTACAAAACAGACATCACAGCCAGGAGGCAGAGGCAGGAGGATAACTTCAGACTCAGCCTGGGCAACTCCATGACTTAGCAATGACCCTGGGTTCAATCCCCAGTATCACAAAACACAACACTCGGCAGCAGATCTCCTCCCTACTCTTGGGCAGCAAGGTGACCCCTCCCCAACATACACACACTGACACACGACCCACCCCCAAAGGCCGGGGGCTCTCAGCATGGCATGAGGCCACCATGTGGGCACCTTAGGGAGCAGTCAGGGCCTGCTGTTCTCTTCCTAGTCCAGCTGGGGCCTCCCACAGGCTGCTCGCAGGAAGTGGGACATTAAGCTGCCGCGGGCCTCCATGCCCAGGCTGAGATGGCCGAGCCCAGAGGACAGAGGACTCAGTGTGTCCTGAGCCCCAGCCCCATGCCAGCCCGTGCGGCACGTCTGGGATGAATAGACCCACAGTCTTGGCGTCATCGGCCCACAGTCTCCCAACCCCCAAGCATGAGAATCGCCTGCACACCACGCAGAAGTTTCCCAGGCCCCCTCGACCCGACCTGAGGGCTTAGCCTCTCCAGGAGTGGGGTGCAGGATGTGTCTTATTTCGGGCCCTCTCCCCAGCCTGGGAGTGGTTCTGATGGTTTGTCTTTTCTATCAACTTGGCTCAGTCTTACGTACTACACTCCACAATTTAGCCCAGGGGGCATGATAGCTTGTGCCTGAAGTCCCTGCCACTGCAGAGGCTGAAGCAAGAGGATCACATGAGCTCATGAGTTTGAAGCCAGCCTGGGTAATACAGTGAGACCCAGACTCCAAAAACAAAGCAAAAACACCGCTCCAGATATTGCTGTGGAGGTTTGGTATGTGTGGACCTAAAGGAAAGATGACCCTTAATAACAGGGATGGGTTTCATCCTGTCAGGTAAGGCCTCAAGATGAAAAACCAAGGCTTCTGGAGAAGTATCAGTTCCTGCTGACCTTCTGGCCAATGGTCTGCCCTGTGGACTGTGGACCTGCCAGTCTCTGGTCATGTGAGCAGTTCTTTAAAATACCTGTCCTGGCAGGACAGACCCCGCCCAGCTAAGCCTCCCTCCAGTGGCTGCATTCCTATCCCAAGCCACATCAGCACTGTCTCTCCTGTCCTGCCTCCTTCTCCCCTTCTTTCTCTGCTTTTTGTTCCTCCCTCTCACTGCGTCCCTTTCTTCTTGTGAGATAGAATCTCACAGTATGGCCCAGGCCGGCCTCAAACTCTTGAGCTCAAGCGATCTTCCTGCACAGCACAAGCTCAGGGTGGCTGGGTGCCCTGTCCCGTTTCTTCACCTCACCCAGCACTCCAGGGCTTTGTGGAGTTGAAAGTGACCTTCCACTCCAACAACACAACACGTACAGCCACCATCCCTGCCAGAGCTGTGTACAGCGCCCTCTCCTCCACCCTCATTCTTACTCCATAAAGCAGCACGTGCTCCTCTTGCTTCCAACCCCTGACCCTGCTTTGTTTTCTCAGTGTCTGTCTCCCAAATTACACCTGGCTTTGCCACTTCCCGAGTCTCCCAAGAGAGGGTGAGTGTGTGAGGAGGCCCTCAGTTGGCTGTGTTCACTCCCAACGCGTGGACGGACGGAGCCTGGCTCAGGGGAGCTGACAATCATCTGAAAACGAATGAATGGAGGGATTCATAACAGAGTAGGGCTCAAACAGGGCTGGGAATTCTTTTTCTTCGTCTTCAGTACTGGAGATCCAACCCAGGTCCCCTTTACCATTGAGCTACATCTCCAGACCTTTTAAAATTTACTTTGAGACTGGGTCTCATTAAGGTACCCAGAATGGGTTGCAACTCACCATCTTCCTGCCTCAGCCCCCAGAGAAGCGGGGTTCCACATGGGACCACCACACCCAGCTATGGTGCCCTTTCTCAGGCCCACACTCCTCCCGTAGCCTCGGGCTCAGCGCTGAGTCAGCCGCCCATCTCTCTGGCGTCTGTGTTCTGTTTCTGGTCTCTGCCATGCCGTGCATGCACCTCCCCTAGGATACTGTACATTTGCACAGGTGGGAAGGACAGGCCCATCTTGTCCCCTTCATACAGTACATCCCGGTGAGACTGCAGTCAGGGAGGAGGCGGCAGCCTGAGAGGGCAGCAGAGAAGATGGAGAGAAGACGCCCGGGAGGCCCCTGAGCTCAGAGCAGTGCTCAGGAGGCAGAGAAGGAAGAATGGAAGAGTCGCTGCTGGCAGCCGGTGCTCTCCCTGGGCAGGGGAAGGGCAGCAGGGGCAGCTGTGGTCCACCTGCCCCCACAAGACCCCAAGAGCATTTGGTTTCCTGCCACTCAGAGCTCTAAAGACCAAGGCCACCGAGGGAGGAGCCAGCTCCCCAGTGGAGGAGTCCGAGCGCTGGCAGCGTGGGAGCAGCCCTTGCTCCTTGCAGGCCCACCCTCCGTGAGCTGCAGAGCCTGGACAGACCTGGCCTGAGCTTGGGCGCGCCATCCTCACTGCTGAGACCCCCGGGGCCCCTAGCCCGCCCCAGAGGTAGACCAACCTCTGCTCTCCCATCAACCCAGCCAGGCCATTAGGTGTCCTGGGGTCAGAGGACTTGGGCAAAACGGCTTTCTTTCCACTGCGAAACGGAGACAGCTGTCAGAGCAGGGGTCTGCATGTCTCCTCCTGTCCGGGCTGCGAAGCTGTCCCGTCTCCCCTCAGCGCTCCACCCTTGGAGGCTCCTGCTTCGACCCTAACAGAAACTCCAACCTACTTAAGGCCCAGAAGCACAGCATTGCTCTGGTCTCCAGCGCACTGAGGCTCCGTCTGAGGAGACCGCACAGGTCTCCTTTGGCATCTCCCACACACTGCTCCAAAGCTTTCCGGCACAGGGGCACAGAGGGGCCGAGGGCCCTGTCGGAAGAGTTACAGAAGCCTGGCAGGAGGGGAACACAGAGCGCCCAGAGGCCTAGCGTGAGTGGGGAAAGCAGAACTAGTCTCAAGGGGAGAGGGAGGGCCGGGCCTGCTCTGAGCTGGGCGCCAGGACCCGAATCCTCGGTGTGCGCTGTGAACAGGAGGGGGTCTGGAGGCGCTGAGGCCAAGCCCGGGGGTGCAGGGTCAGGTGACTCGCCCCTCACTTTCTCCCACAGACCGCTGCACCTCGGGCACCGCCTCGAGGGAGGCTCTGGTGGCCGGTGGGGCCGAATCTGCAGATCTCTGCGGAGAACTCCCCTTTAAAGCCGGCCAGAGGGAAGGAGGGGGCTTAGACGGGATCAGCTTCGCCCCTCGGGGCTTTGTTTGTTGATTTGTTTTTCCGGAAGGAGGAAAGAGGCTTCAGTCACATTAAGTCCCTCAGCCCTTTCATGCTGGGCCCCCCACAGGGAGGAGGCAGCCAGCTGAAGGGCTCAGCCTCCTCAGCTAATTGCTCATTAAAGAGTGTTAATGCCGCTCTGCCCGACCCCTGCCAACTGCAAGGATCGCCTGCTCCTCTGGCCCTCGCTGCTCTCTCTTCCCAGACCAACCCCGCTCAGTCCCGTCCTGCGGGCCCACAGTGGGTCTGCCAGGACCCCGTGGGTTCAGGGTCTGTCACGCACCTTCCGGCCACCATCACCTACGCACCCCACCTCGCCCACACTTACAACTTCTCCAGCAGGGACAGACCCAGGAAGGATCCATTCCGGAGCACGGTGATCTTGTTGTTGCTCAGGAGTCTGAGGGGAGAGGGCGGACACAGACAGAAGGTGCTGTTAGGTGCGGGTGCTCCCAGGCTCCTGGCTAGGGCCGTGCTGCCCTCTGTGAACATGGTGCCCCTGGGAGCTGGGCACGGCAGCAGCCCCACCCTCCACGCAGCCAGCCGTCTGAAGCTCCAGGCAGACATTTCACAGGCCCTGAGGCTCCGAGTCGGGCACCAGGACGCGAACCCTCGGTGTGGGCTGTGAACAGGGGCTCTGGAGGGGCTGAGGCGAAGCCCACGGGTGGATCGACGTGGGGCTCTGCGCGGTGGGCCGAGCAGGTGTGAAGTCGTGACACCCACCCCTTTCTAACCCCAGGACTGAACTCACAGCGTCCCATCCTGCCCTCTACCACTCTGTGCTCAAGCCCTCAGCCCAGCCAGCGCAGAGCAGTGGAGACTTCGGCGAGCCAGAGCTTGGGCCCAGGTGGAAGAGGCAGGCGGGGAGCTGCCTTCTGGGGCCTCTCCTACATGCCTGGCTGCTGCGGACCCCAGGAAGGTGACCCGACTGTGAGGGCCTGAGCGCCCCGCGCTGTCGGGCTGATGGACCCTTACCTCCCCCAGCTTGTCTGCAGCTTTGAGAAAAAGCCCTCTGAGTCCAGGGCTGGCGGAAAGGCAGGTCTCAGCCTTGCACTGCCCCTGGGAGTCCTGTCGGTGTACTCAGCTGTGTTTGGAGCCGGCCTCTCTCCCTGTCCCTCTCTCCCTCTCCCC